AGAAGACTTTACAACTTTATAGCAATTTGGTTTCTCAAAAACTTTTTTGAGAAGTTTTTGCTATAGGGTGCATGCACTTGCCAGAAAGACAGAGAAAGACAGAGAGACAGAAAGCGAGAAATCGCCCCCAGCAGGGATGGCCATGCCGTAATCCCTTTTCCTCCATTCTCTTCTTGGGATCTTGGGCACGCACGCACATGTGCCCGGCGTGTTTAAGCCACCAGGTCTGGGACTCGAACCGCAGTTGACTACATGGGAGTCCAGCGACATATCCATTATGTCATAATGTCAACTGCTGGTCCCCTCAAAAACTTTTTTAACTGTTTTTTTTTTTTTTTTTTTTTTTTTCTATTTCTGTTTTAAATGAGTTTAGGAGTTAACTTTGAAACGTTTACAATTTAGGCAGAACTGGCTGAACCTGAGTAAGAAATAAGTTCCCAAACAGTCTTGAATCTTTCTCTGATAAAACTACAGGTGAAAAGAAAGAAAAAGAAAAATCCCCAACAGGTTCAAAATAGGCAAAGGGAAACAAAGAAGCTCATACATTAACCAGAAAAAACATGAGTTGATCACAGGATTATAGTTATAAATTGATCAGTCTACCAATATTTGTCTCAGAGGACCTTGAGAGGGGAATTAGAAAAAGAGAAACGATGGAATTGTTTAGACAGGGGCAGTGGGAGAGGAAGTTTCTGGTGCCTGAATTTTAGAAGTCACTTCTATTATTAGTTTTTAAATTCTGAGATAGTTTTCATATTTTTTTTTTTTAGCTTCTTGAAGGGAAGTGAGTTTATCTTTTCTTCTTTAGATTTTTAGAAATTTTTGCTATAGGGCATGTGTGCTTACTGGAGAAACAGAGAGAGACAGAAAGCAGGAAATCACCCCCCAGGGGAATAGCCACCCTTCAATCCCTTCTCCTCCCTTCTTCTCTGAAGATTTTAGGCATGCATGCACATGAGCTCAGTGTGAGTTTTAAGCTGCCGGATCTGAGACTCGAACTATGGTCGACTATATGGGAGTCTAGCAATGTAATCATTACACCACCTGCTATTCCCAGATGGCTTTAAATCTTCTGGTTTAGATAGCTTTAAATACCAAGTAAAGTAGGAATTCTGTTTTCTAAATACAAGATCTTTTTTTATTTTTTTATTTCTTGGAGAGGTTTTTGCTATAGGGCACGTGTGCTCGCCAGACAGACAGAGACAGACAGAAAGCGAGAAATCACTCCCCAGGGGGGATGGCCACGCTGCAATCCCTTCTCCATTCTCCTCTTGGGATGTTGGGCACGTATGCACACGCGCCCGGCGTGAGTTTTAAGCCACCGGGTCTGGGATGTGAACTGCGGTCGACTATTACATGGGAATTCAGTGACATAGCCATTACGCTAACTGCTGGTCCCAGATCCTTTTTTTTTTTTTTTTTTGTGAGAGAGAGATTTATGCTATAGGTTGTGTGTGCTTACTGGAGAGACAGAGACAGAAAGCAAGAAATCACCTCCTTGGCTGATGACCATGCTGCTGTCCCTTTTCCATTATCCTCTCAGGACCTTAAGCATGCAAGCACACATGCCTGGTGTGAGTTTTAAGCCACCAGGTCTGAGACTTGAACCAGGTTGGCTATGTGGGAGTCTAGCAACATGACCATTATGCCATCTGCTGCTTCTGATCTAGTTTTTTTCCTAACTTAGGATACAAAAAGACTAAAACAAATTTTTTAAAGGTTTTTGGCATAGGGCACAAGCAATCCCCAGAGAAATAGAGAGAGAATGTGAGAAATTTCCCCCTGGGTGGGGGAATGGCCATACCACAGTCCCTTCTCCATTCTCCTAGGATTTTGGGTGCCCACACACACGAGCCTGGTGTGATTTTTCAAGCCTCCAGGTCTGGGACTCAAACTCTGGTTGTCATGTGGGAGTTAAGTGCCTTAAACACTTGCCACCTGCTGACCCCTAAGAAAAAAACATTTTTTAAGGTTTTTGCCATAAGGTGTGTGTACTCGCTGGAGAGAGTAAGAAGGAAAGTGAGAAATCACTCCCCAGGGGGATGGAACACTGTAATTCCTTCTCCATTCTCCTGGGATTTGGGGCATGCGCATGTACCCAGTGTGAGTTTCAAGCTGTTGGGTCCAAGCCATGGTTAGCCATGTGGTAGTCAAGCACCTTAACCACCACTACATCACCTGCTGGCACCTAAAACATATTTTTAAAGATTAAAATGTATAAAGATAGGAAAGTTCCCCATGGGAAATTCAAACTTATGTCATCTTATGTAAGGGGTTTTTATCTACACAGGTATATACATGATTATTACATACAAAGCTAGGTTAGAGTGTCAGAGGGAATTATTTTCCTTGTTCTAATTCAACATTAGTTGTTTTATTTCCCATGTTTATTCACATCAAGCCAAGTAAAGTAATTTAGGAAAGCAGAGGAGAAAGACCCTTTAGAATAAATACACTTGCCCCAGAGGTCAGCAAGTGGTATGGTGGTTAAGGTGCTGGATTTTCACATGGCCAACTGCAGTTCAAGTCCCAGACTGGCAGCTTGAAAACCATGGCAGGTGTATGTGCATGCGTTCCCAAAGTCCCAGGAGGAGAATAGAGAAGGGACTTCGGTGTGGCCATTACCCTTGGGAGGTGATTTCTCACTTCCTCTCTCTCTGTGTCTCTCCAGCAAGCACAGGTGCCCTATAGCACAAACCTTTTAAAAACCCTCCTCTAATATTAGATTTCTCTAACTCAGGTGAGCTTCACCGAAAGGGACCAAACAGCATAGAATAGACCAGACCATTTACCAAGGTTTTGAGAGGTCTGAGACCAGAGAACTTCTCTAATCTTCCTTCAAGAGAAGCTCAAAGTCAGGGCAGGAGACAGAGAGACCACCACACTGATACCTGTCAACAGATTCTGATGATTCCCAAGAAGAGCTCTGGTTCCTCTCTTAGTCCCTTTGCAGTCGCCAGTAAAAACTTGTCAGTGGAAATAACCAAGCTTTGGTTATTAAAATATATAAGTTTGTGGGCTGGCAGGTGGAGTGGTGATTAACGGCACTGGAATCTGACATGGCCAACCGTGGTTCAAGTCTTGGTCTTGGTAGTTTGCTTTCTCACTTTCTCTCTCTCTCTCGCTCTGTCCCTCTTTGGTCAAATATAAATAACAAATAAAGTGAAATAAAATAACTCTTTAAAATATATATATATATGTATATATATATGTGTGTCTTTTGGGTGTTTAGATGCAGTGTTTTTTTTTCTACTCGGTGGGTTCTAAGAGCAGGAGACAGAATTGCAAGTCAGCATAAGGAATCTTAACATTGGCCTGGTCTAAAAAGATAAGACATCTGGAAGGGGGAACTTGTAAATTATAGGAAGGTTTAGAAATTTTTACATTAGTATTGGGTTGTTGAGAAAGTTGTGATGTAGTTTTTTTGTTTTTTAAGAACCATTATTTAATTTCATTTATTATTATTATTAACTTTGACCAGAGAGAGAGGCGGGGGGGAGTGAGAAAGCAAGCTGCCAGGTCCGGGACTCAAACTGTGGTCAGTCATGTGGGAGTCTAGCGCTTTAACCACCACGCCACCTGCTGTCCCCATGATGTATTTGTCTATGTTTTTCTATGCAAAAATGTGTCATGACTTTACCGACAACCCAATAATTGGTTAAAAGCACACATCTTTGTTTCCAAAAGACTTGAGTCAGCAAAAAGAATGCCAGTGTTTAACGGAGATAAGACTTTACTCTGTGTCTGATAATACTATGCCAGGGACAGGATGTAGCGAGTGTCCCACCATCACTGGACCCAAGTGATCTGTTATAGCAGGATTAATGTGTGCACATGTGACTCCCCCACCCCGCCCAACCCCCTTAGCAAGTATCTTAGAACAGGAAAAGTAGTCAGAATTCTGTCCTCAGGTACGTGAGCTGGTTTTTGCCAAGAAAATGTCAAAATGCTCTCTCTCTCTCTGAAGCTTTTTGTCCATTGTATCTGGCAGAATTTCAGTTCCTAGAGAGTAGACAGTTGCTCCTTGGTTTTAATATGAGGTGTCAATTAGTCCAGTGGCTCTACCCCACATTTGAACTTACTTTGACCCCTATTAATGCCTTACTGTTTAATCATATGACAACTGAACATTTTCACCTCCATGTTTTTTATTTCCTATGTCCTTATTCCTTAGTTCCAATCTCTAAAATCATAGTTTTTTGGACCAAAAAATGTTAATTTAAAGTATAAGGCCCAGCTCTGTGTGCTGCTAAGATGCTGTGCTCTACCTGCTCGGACCGTGCAGGAGGCCTGGGTTTGCTTCCTGGTCAAACCTAAAGGCCAAGTGTGGTGCGTGCCTGTAGTTTCCACTGGGTCACTGAAGCAGTCCTGCCAACAAACAAGCAAAATCACTGAAGTGTGAGATGGTGTTTCTAGAAAGATACTCTTGTTTTCTCCCAAAAAACCCTTAGAAATCAACAGAAAAAGGGACCAATAGATGGCGTAGCGGTTTTGTTGCTGGACCCCAGCTTAGTCAACTGCGGTTTGAGTCTAGACCTGGTAGCTTGAAACTATGCCAGGCATGTGTGTGTGGATACCCAGGATACTGGGAGGATAAGAGAGAAAGGATTGCAGCATGGCCATTCCCCAGGGCGATGGTTTTCCTCTCACTGTGTCTCTGAGGGCATGTGCCTTCAGGCAAAACACCTCTCTAAAAAGAAAGAAAAATCAACAGAAATGGCTCATTGATGATGTAATGGTTTACATTGCTGGACTTCCACTTAGTCGACCATAGTTTGAGTCCTGGATTCAGCAGCTTAAATTCACACTGGGCTCATTTGCATGTGTGCCCCAAATCCCAAAGGAAGATGCAGGAGAGGGGAATGTGGTGAGGCCATCCCCCCCACGGGATGATTTCTTGCTTTTGGTCTCTCTGGCAAGCATACATGCCTATAGCAAAAATCTCTCTCTCTAAAAAAAGAAAGACAATTCTGAGTTAATCTTTGTTAATTTTATTTCAGAAAGTGGTAAAATAGCTGTGGAGTACAGACCCAATGAAGAGATCCCAGATACAAGAAGCGAAGAACTACACAATTTAATTCAAGTATGTGGCAAGCCAAGCTCAAGGGTCATATAGTCAGTATAGTCATAATTCAAAACAACCAGCAGGATTTGGAAGACTTTGACGTGTATCATTGTTAGGAAAATGTGAAGTTCTGAAACTGCTTTTGAACTCATGGGATTTCTGGGCCTTTCCCTGAAATCCTGCCCTTAAGTCTGACTCCTTATTTGAAGCTTAGAGAGCAAAACTGAGGACTATCGGAGAACTAACCACACAGTGGTAGTGTGGGCACAGGAAGGGGAGAGTCTTTCCCTCCAGGGCTTAAGGATGCTGAACTATTTGAATACAGGCCTTTTTTTTTGGAGAGGTTTTTGCTATAGGGCGCATGTGCTCGCCAGACAGACAGAGAGAGACATAGAGACAGAAAGCGAGAAATCACCCCCCTGGGGGGATGGTCATGCTGCAATCCCTACTCCTCTATTCTCCTCTCGGGATCTTGGGCACGCACGCACACGCGCCCAGCGTGAGTTTTAAGCCACCTGGTCCAGGACGCGAACTGCGTTCGACTACGTGGGAGTCCAGCGACATAGCCATTACGCTAACTGCTGGTTCCCTGAATATAGGCCTTTGTAGAACTCCCCTTACACAAGACCCCAGAATTTGGGAACAAAGCAGTTAGTCCTTAAGTGTGGTTATGCCACAGCTTTTGAAAGTAATTATTCAAATACAGTGTGCTACCTAGATCTCATCGTCCCCTATAAACTTAGTGTGGAATGTTTTGATGAAGAACTTTCTGAAAATCAATTATATCAAAGCCTTTTATTAGGGATTATGTTTCCAAGGTAATTTCTAAAAGAACGTAGTAAGTATTTACTAAGTATAGGATTTTTTTTCTCCAAAAAAGGAGCAAAAAAAGGTGTCATCAGTGGGAACTTAATTTGGGGCTAGATTTTTTTTTTTTTTTTTTTTTTAGAGATTTTCACTGTAGGGCTCGTGCGCTCGCCAGACAGACAGAGAGAGACATAGAGACAGAAAGCGAGAAATCACCCCCCAGGGGGGATGGTCATGCCGCAATCCCTTCTCCTCCATTCTCCTCTCGGGATCTTGGGCATGCACGCACACGCGCCCGGCGTGAGTTTTAAGCCACCGGGTCCCAGACACGAACCGCGGTCGACTACGTGGGAATCCAGCAACATAGTCATTACGCTAACTGCTGGTTCCCATTTGGGGCTAGATTTTTGATTACAGGAAACCTTTGAACTGTGCAGAGGTTAGAGATGGTGCTAAAAATACTGGTATAACTTTTGACTCTCCTAAAACTTAATGACTATTAGTTTGCTGATGACTGGCAGCCTTACCGATAATATAACCAATCAATTAGCACATTATTTGTATGCTATGCATATTATATACCATATACTTATAATTAAGTAAACTAGAGAAAAGGAAATGTCATTAAGAGAATCATAGAGAAAATACATTTCAAGTGGCCTATAATCCAATACACTCACTGAAAAAAAAATCTCTAGATTAGTAGACCCGTGCATTTCAAATCTGTGCTGTCCAAGGGTCAACTCTTTAACTCACCCAAAAATTGTGAAGTAATTTGTTTAGAAGAAGGCAGAGAAGGTGGTTGTATTCTGAAAAAGTATTTGAAAATTTTTTCATGTGAAATACTTTTTTAATCAATTTAATTAAAACCAGCCAAGGAAACTTGAAACATATCCATTTATTCAATTTAAATAAAATCAGTCAAGGAAGCTTCAAACTTTAAAAAGTCTAGCTTCCTGTGAAATGTCAGTGGAAATGTCAGCACTGATTTAACAACAAATCCATTGCTGGGTCAGGCATTCTTGGAATCAGTTCCATTTAACAACTGTTACTTTGGGACCAGCAGGTGGTGTGGTGGTTAAGGTACTGGATTCCCACATAGCTGACTGTGGCAGGAGTCCTGGTGGCTTGAAAATCATGCTGGGTGCTTGTGTGTACATGCCCCAAATCCCAGGAGAATGGAGAAAGGATTGGCCATGCCCCCTTGGGAGTGATTTCTCACTCTCTTTCTCTTTGTCTCTCTCTGGAGAGTGGGCATGCCCTATGGCAAAACACAATGTTACTTTGTGCCGAGTCATGTGCTAGGTACTGAAAACAGAAGATGAAGGCCCTCCTTGGTGTCTACATGGTGGAGGTTTACGTGCCAGATAATAAACAAGTAATAAAATAGATTATACAAGGGCTGTGAAGGATGCCAGCTGAGTTCTAGTTATAGTAGTATTTTCAGAGAATTATACACTGATTTAACATCATAAATGTCTGCTCCTGTGTGCACACAGGGTAGACCTGTGAAAAGCAGTGTCATTCCTTCTAGATCGTTGTGTCATGTTGGGAGGTTCCCCATCCTGGTGTGAAGGGCTATTTATTTGGATTCAAGCCCTCTCTATTAAGACTGAAATGCCCACCCCAAAAGTGCTCCTACAGAAATTTTGGAGTCACTGTTGATTCTATGGTAGCCCCTTCCTAATAGAGTGATGAATGCATTCTCAAACATGGAACAAAGGATCCTGAGGTTTAGAGGAAATGGCAGCATTTTGGAACGAGTAACTGGAAGGTGTGAGCTTCTGCCTCCCCCTCCCCCTGCATGTGACACCTATTTTTCAGGTCAGTTGCTTTTCGTGGGAGCAGTACAGCCAAGAGGAGGATGGAGAGGGAAAGCCTGGGAAAAGGCTCACCCTGGTGGCACAAAGACTATCAGGGCCCCAGCTTAGTAAAGGTTACATAAAAACCAGCCAGTCCTGGGACCAGCAGTTAGTGTAATGGCTATGTTGGTGG